AATAACCAATTGCCAATTTTCATTTTAACTACAGCAATAATGCAGTTAATTTATAATCCAAGAATAGTAATAATGATGCTTTTAATATTATTAAACAACATGTGCCTATCCTAGGTTCTTGGGAAAGATTTGATAAGTGGACAAAAATGCAAAATCCAGTCTAAACATCTTGCAAGTATAGAGTTCAGTTTAACTTTTTCCATGATAGATTTTCCATATGGGAAAGCTACCCTGCCATATCAGTTTATCTTGAGAGATTTTTAAAAAAGGAAACAGAAGATTAAGGAGATCAAAAATGTATTTTTAGTTTAACGATTTAACCCAAAGAAGCTTAGGAAACAATATCTACTAGCACAGTGAGCTTGTACAATACACACAAGATCAATTTTATTTTTTTAAATATATTTTTCTCTTTTTAAAGGCATGTCGATTGGATCCTGCTGTAGCTGCTGATCTTGAGCTGACTGCTAATCATGGGAGAATTTAGAATATTATTTTGCTGAATCTGAGGAACACATTTCTTTTAGCTTCTGATTAATATGAACAAACTTCTTTTGTCTCCCTTTTCTTCATTCAGAGTAATGCATATAAATTCCTTTCAGTAAAGTTATAACCATTACTTTGTAAAACTATTCTTTAATTCTGTTAATATAATAAAAGTTGACTGATGATCATTGAGTACATTTCTGAAGGCATTTGCAATTAGCTATCCATGATTAAGACTGTGTGCTACATCAGTACTCTGCCTTACATAATATTTCTTGTTATCCTTTGAAGTTATAGTGGAGAAAGGTTGGCTAGCCTCTCAGAAGAAAAAGAAAGCATCTAGTCCTTGCCTTAAGTACAAATTCTGCCATAATCATGAGGTTTAGAGAATGCAATTCTCTTGGATTTCTCAAAACTGATTTCAAACAAGATCATTTCTATATAGAATGAGATAAGGGATAAGGGATAAAGAGAAAGCATAACAACACTTCAAGAAAACAAACCTATACATTCATTAACCTATACCAGCTTCTTTCATACACTGGTAAAGAATAGAAATCACTATAGGTAATCCTGCACAACGCGTCTTCAGATGCTGAAGAAAATGACAGAAGAAATACAGAAAACCTATTTTTTATTTATGATGCGCTATGAGGTTGGATGCGAACAAAAGGAAATGTGACCAGTCTACTGCATAGCTTCACACAGCCTATATGGATTCTGTCTTCTAGGTAAAAAATGGGTTCCAAAAAAATCCAGGAAAACCTTGGATGATTATTTGTTACATCCGAGTGCTTTCAGTTTGTGTATATCATAGTGCCAGGAATTCTTCAGTTATCTTAAAGAAATATGGACTACTTAGCTATACTGCCTAAGATGATATAGTTTTAACAAGTTGTATACTGGATTAGTAGGCTTGTGCCACAGTACCTATTTTTGTTTACTATAAAATATATGAAATAACTTTGTCTAATATATAAAAACATTTCATTGTACATTAGAAAGAACATTGAGAACATTAAATTAGCAGTGTGCACATTTGTATAAATTTTAAAAATAAATTTAAAACATCCTTTGAAAGCCCTAACTTCCTAAAGCGTTCTTCCACAGTTGCTGAAAAATTATTTGGTATTTTTTTTTGCATCTGTTTAAATCAATCTCTACTATTAGACCACGTCCATTTGAATAATTACTTGAAATCAATAAGCCCTGAAATCCCTGGTAGACATAGGTTACCAATCGTGATATATAGATAATATATTGCAGAAGTAAAGTAGATGATAATTTAGGCCTTTATGTATTGGATCAGTAATTACCATAAAATCACTGCAACACATCTTTGTATTTAAAATCACAACATAAAGGTCATTGCTGCTAAAAAGAACAAGCTAATTGGCTTAATGTGTGAATCATTACATTTTTTTAAATATATATATATAAAAAGGTCAACCATCTCATAATTTGCTGGATTGTGATTCTTCTCTTTGTACCTGTTGTTGGTAGTATTGTCTTTGGGATATACATACCCTAAAAATACTGTAATTTTTTTAGCACAACACATTAATAAATTAAGTTCAGAATACACATTGCTACTCTACAAATAAGCTCACTATCTGTTCTTTAAATGGCTAAACGGGCAACCTTGACATAAAATTTAAATATGGGTATAATAGCCTTTTTAAAATAGATATGTTTGCAGACAACATGCCCGCGAGAACATCAAAATGGGCTGGATGATTTAACTGCACTTCAATTTATTAGGATGATAAGATATTTATATCCTGCTTAAGGCTGATTCGCTCACAATGTATTTCAAGGTAGCACTAAATTTTGGTTGTCTGTAATGTTCAAACAAATAAATACAGTTCTCTGAAACAACACTTTCAAGCTGTAATAAGAGTTGTAATTATGAAGCGGTGTACTCTACTTTTATAATTTATTGCTTACAAAGGCTGCAAACTATGGAAAATCTTTGGTAAAAATAAAAGCAGTAAAATTTACACAGTATCTTTACATATATTGCACAAGGCTCATCAATACACAAGAAAATAGAGGAACAGTCAGTATCCTCAGCGAAAAAAATAACTGTACAACATCCATTAAGATATCACTAAAGCAAAATGCCTTTTGTAAATGTTTAAAATACTTTATATTTCATATATCTTATATTAACATTCAAATTTCAATCTGTATCTTAAAGAGATTTATTCATATAACAAGTTAAATAAAAGCCAGAAACTACACATTGCTGGCATTCTAATTATCTGTTCTTTTCAAGTCTGCTTTGCTTTGTGTAAATGTAAAAAAAAGAAAAAAGAAAAATATACAAATTCTCAGAAGTTTTCAGTCAACCCTCCATGGAAAAGAGGGAAATGTTTAAGTCTATTATTACCAATAGACATTCTTCTTACTAATTCAGCTGAACATTCAAACCTGAGCTGCTTTAACCTTCTCTAAATGAATTCGCAGTTCAGGACACAATTCAAGTAGCAGCATTTCCAATAATACCTAGGAGAGAAAAATTAAAATGTGGTTTTTTTCTTCCAAATTGACATTAGAACATCAAATATTACAGTATAAAGAGGACTGAAGCACAATTCACTTCCTCTGAAGAGACATCTTGGGGACCCAACAATGGCCAATTTAGGGGTTACAGGAAGGCTGGACGTATAACCATTCCAAAGAATAAGGCCTTCTGGTAAAAGCTTTTATTGCCCAGTCCAGCATGTTTCCTGATCTGCAATCAAATTTAAATAAATTAATTTGAATATTTTGTGTAGAAAAGTATAATGAAAAGGTCTCCCAATAATGAGTCAGAAAGCCCTCTGTTCTGGAACAGGATTGCTCCACTTCAGATTCTGTGTAACATCAAGTACACAAATGTACATGTGTACTCAAGGCCTCAAGTCATTTGCTGTCCACCATTTTCTCATTTTCCAGGTGGTTCAAGCATGGTAGAGGACCACATTTTTATTATATATTGGTGCTAACTGACAACACCTTTAGATAAATCTAGTATGATTGAGGAGACCTCAAGAATTAGTAAATTATTTTATAATTAATTTGATTTAACCCATTTCCTTCCATTGCTTCAACTACTACTCAGCTAAAGAAAATGAGAAATTGAAGAAAACATGGCCATAGTTAATTTAGGTGTGAATTATATATTCTCATAATTGGGTTTCACCCATTCTAACTAAAAAAAAAAAGTTCTATGAAACAGTATATTAGACAGTGAAGCTTCTAGATCTGAAAAACTATCAGTTTTAAATAACAAGCTGAGTCTGAGTTAAACTCACATAAAGAAGATGCTTATTGGCCTTGGTTTCTTGAAGTGCGTTGAACACTTTTATTACACCATGGCGAGCATTTTGCTGTCCAACAAGACTTTGGAGAGTGTCTGAAAGAAGCATTAAAAAAAAAAAGTCTGACTCTGATTTTAATACTCTCAACCATTTATGAAGAAATATAATCTAAAAATACAGTGTATAATGAAATAGAAGTATATCCACACTAGTGCAATTATATAATGATCCAAGCCGGGTGCAATGACAACAAAATAGTCTAACTACTATAACAGAATAAAAGAAATGATGGAAGTTCAATTATCTCTAGTTCCTGTACTCTGTCTTCTAAATTCTTTATCCTCAACTCTAAAATATCAATACCACGGAAGAGCTGTGGTGGCGTGATGGTTAGAATGCCGTATTGCAGACTATCTCTGCCGACTGCCAGCAATTTGATCCTGACCAGCTCAAGGTTGACTCAACCTTTCATCCTTCTGAGGTTGGTAAAATGAGGGCCCAGATTGTTGGGAGTAATATGCTGACTCTAAACCGCTAGAGAGGGCTATAAAATACTATGAAGCAGTATGTAAGTCCAAATCCTATTGCTATTAAATAGCCAAGGAGAAGATTTACTTAAACATGTTTGTTCATCAAATTTGACCTCTACTGTCAAAAGAACATATATGTTTGCATGTAAAAGTAAAAAGTTGAGACTGCAGTGTTATTATTCTATTCTACTGCACTTAAAACAGTCAGAACTCACTGTTTTTCTTTTTTCCCCTTTCCCCCTACACTTTTTCCCTTCCCTTTTTCCTCCCGCATTTTCCCACTATTTTCATTTTCTTTTGTATTTTATATCTTGATAAACGTAATAGTTTATCTTAATAAAAATTTGAAACAAAAAAATAATGTTCTAATGTTGAAATAATGTCAGAATGTCTCACCTGGAATGTTTTCAAGTAGTTTCTGCTGTGCTTTCTGTTTTGTTTCTTGACTTTGCTGTTCATTTATTGGCTTTGGGCTGGATGCCAGTTTCCCATTTGGCCAAAATGCATCTCGAAAAATATTGATATAGTAAACAAGCATTGGCTCACTGAAGATCCAATTTACAGTGTCACGAATTTGTCTTGGAGGAAAGGCATTTAGAAAAAAGTTTTAACCACTTTTCCCTTTCTAGAAATGCACACGCGCGCACACGCACACACACACGACATAGATAAAGTCAGGCCCCATAGGGTCAGACAATCTAAAGAAGACCGCCACATCATAATTTGCAAATACCAAAGAAAATGTAATTGTACCAAGGAATATTCAGAGGTCATGAAGTCAAACAAGTAAGTGTTTAGAAAAAAATGGCAACCAATTTGAACATTTAATGTAATTTACATAAGAGTCTGTGATTTTTTGTATACCGTGTATCATGAAATTTGGTATAGTAAACAGTTGGTATCATGAAATTTCCTTATATTCCCATGTTACACTATGCTATTCAAGCAATACAGCATGGAGCGATTGGAAATAAGTAAAATTGTAAGTAAGATTGCTAAGGAGAACCATAAAAATAGTCTCAAATTATCATTTTATAACTAGGATCCTTCTAGAAAAATGAGAGCTAATAGTTATACAGTACCAAATACATCTAGTAAAAGGGCAATTTGAGTGGAACAACCATATGAAATATTGTTCGGATCAGCTTTCCACAATCCTAACAAGGACAATGATCAGGAATGTTCAGCTGGCCAGGGAATTATGGGAGTTGAAGTCCACACATCTCAAAGTTGCGAAATTTGTTTTATACATTACAGTGGAAATAGTAATTACCATAATTATAATTATATTAATACTTACTTTATAGTAATAGAATAAATTGTTATCATTTCTAATTTCAGTTAATGTGTTTGACACAATATAATTCATCATCACATCAGAATTCTACAAATAGAATCTGAATGCTAGAAATGGAGACAGAGACAGGAAAAGTCACTCTCATTAATGCTCACCGATACGCTGGAAAGTGTAT